TGTTTGCTGTGTGTGTGTGTGTTTGTTGTGTGTGTTGTGTGTGTGTGTGTGTGTGTACACTTTTCTGTTCTCTCTTCCCTTCATCCCACACATAACATTTGACCTGGCTCTTACTCATAACACACAAATACAGCCTCACAAAACACACACACACACACACACACACACTTTGCGTCTGTACTGTTGTGGTTAAGACAGCGTGTAGATCGAGTTTCGTGCGTCCACCATCACAGAGATTTTTACACCAACCTTTAGTTTTTACTTTGGGGATTTTTTTTAATTTTAAATTGCATGACGTGCTCGTGTTTCTGGTGGTACCTATTTTGCTGCAGCGCCTGAGTTCTCCCTGAGTTAGACCTACTGGGCTACATGTACCAACGTTCCCCTCCACCCTGGTTAGTGCACCATGTCAGACCGGGGGGGGAGCCCCTGGATTATAACACCCCTCCAGCCCCGGCGTAATCCCGGCCGCCGTCGGGGAACATGAGGTAAATGTTCCCATGCAGGCTCAGCACAGTTCCCTCTTTTGTCCCGAGTGCACGAACACATATTCATTTAGCGCTGGGTGGATGGTGTGCGTTGGTGTTTAGTCCTCTGGGTCTCCCTGCTGTTTATCTCACTTATGTATAAGTTCAGGGGTTTCTAAGCTACTAGTTGTGTTGTAAATACTACCTTGTCACTCAGTACCTCTGTACAATCTGTAAATAAGTAAAGGTTACATTTTTCTACTTGTCTGGGTCTGGTTCTTGTTAATCATTTTACCTTTCTACCTTCCCACCCACCTTCCTAACCTAGATACTCAACCTACCTTCCTTCCTAACGTAACATACCTACACAACCTTCCTTAACTTAACTGACCTCCCTCACTAACCATCTACCTACCTACACGATACAACTGAATTACGGATGCTTCTCATTTCTGTCCGTCCGTCCTGAAGCTGCAGTTTTCCGTCAACTGTGAGAATAAGGGCTTTTTGGTTTTCTGCTGCAAAAGGACTCTCCTGCTCTCTGCAGGCTTTCATAATGCCCCCTTAGTGTCTGTGTCTGTCTCTCTGTGTGTGTGTCTGTGTGTGTGTGTGTTTAGATCAGTGTTCTGGTAAAAAGCTTTATTTTTATATTTCTGTCTCCCTCAGGAGACGAACGCTCTAATCTGGGCTGAAGTGGGACAGGAGAGGCGAGCAGAGAGGAGCACATAGACGAACAAACACTCAGACACACACATACGCAGACACACACTCACACACACACGCGCTTATGCATGCTACAAATCATCACACACCACGGCTGGAGGATCTGACACAAGCCGTAGACCAGCTGTAGCAAGAAGACAAGGAGGAGAGAGGAGAACAAAGACACGAGAGGGGTCCCACTGCAGCCGTCCACACTTTCTTTGAAATGGCTCGCATGGAAAATGTCACAAAACACACCGCGGAGCATCCGCGGCCTCACAAGCCTGTTTGTGAGGAGTGTGTGATCGTGTGCGTATGTATATGTGTGATCATCTGTGTGTCGCTTCCTCTGAGACAGGGTGTCAAGTCTTCAGCGGACTAACTCCCCCTGATGTGATCCATATGCTGGGATCTAATGGACGGGGTAACAGCACACACTCAGACACATGCCTATGCCTCTTATTAAACTAATAGAATTGAGCTGCCCCCACATGTCAGCCTGTAATGTGATTACTGTACCACATCCATGTACCCCTGCAGTAACGACACATACATACATGTGTGTATTCCTGCTGATACACAGACAAAGTCCCAGGGCCACACGCAAACACACATGGGGGTTTACCACATATGTAGCCGGCACTGCCGGGATGTGAGATGAAGCAGATAAATGAAGATAATTAATTTCCTGGATTAAGAATTTCTCCATCTGAGCAACCCGGAGGCTGGAGGGGAGTCAGTAGGAGAACGAGGAATAAGTCAGGATCGAAGGAGGACGATGAGGATGACAGTGTGGACATTTACAGGCCTGCTGTAGGCTGCTGGCTCTTCCCAAGACTCCAAACATCCTCATTAACCAGCAGTCAGCCTACACACTTAACACGTGTGCGTTTGCATGTACACTTGTGTTCTTAAACTGTTGTGATTGTGTGTGTGTGTGTGTGTGTGAGAGAGAGGAGGAGAGAGAGAGCAGCGCGTCAGCCTACACACTAAACAAACCCATGAAAATTCATAAGGACCTGGCGACGCCTACTCACAAATACTAAAAATACTGGAATGAGTTGAGCCTAGTCAGAGGAGAGGAGAGAGGAAGAGTGAGAGAGAGAGAGAGAGAGATGAGATGAGATGAATAGAAAGAAATGAGAGAAAAGCAGAGGAGGAGGGAGAGAGAGACAGAGAGAGAGAGGTGTAACATGAACCAGGGGAGAGCAGAGCAGAAAAAAGAGGAGAAATAATAGTTACTGCGTCCAACTTGGAACATCTATTCTCAGCCTCCGGTGGCCAGCTCTCACTCTGTGTGTGTGTGTGTGTG